CAACATCCCCCTACACTCAGCTGCTTTTATTCTTAATCAGGCCCATACTGCTAATGAAATAAAGTGGATCAGCTTAGCTCCTTTTTCTTTCTGGGTTTTGCTAAGTGCTTTTACCATGCATGACTGTTACAAACCATTCTTCCCATCATCTTCTGCTTGTTTTGGAGCAGACTTGTAGCAAAATATATTTATCAAGTATTAAATTTCCATTGGTTGTAAATGCTGGAAATAATTTAAGATGAATGGATAGGTTTGGAGAAGACAAATTACATATACTCTCAAAGTCTCCTGTAAGATTAACCATATGCAGATACTTATTATGCCAGGTACAGATCAAGGCGATACATTCCAAATAGAAATGTCACAAGTGGGCTTCAGTGCATATTACTCACAGAAAAAGGTATGTGAATTTAATTATTTAATCATATAAATTGATGTGGTTATCTAGACATGAATGTATAGAAATGCAACAAAACAAGACTAATAAAAATAATGACCCTGTTTTATGATTAGTATCAAATGTTAAGGAAATTATAACTAATGTCAGATTAGTGTCAATTTATTTATTTTTCCACTTGAACATGAAAAAAATACTTCTAATATGTTTGCTGATGGTATATATTTCTGAGAAGAAGATACATATTAATAAGTTAATCTGAGTAATAGTTTCTTTGGTTGTAATGATTTTGAGACAATCCAAGGAATTCAGGGACTGCTGAGTTCACCTAGTATGAAAAGCTTAGTTGTTCCAAGCTGACATTTTGCAGTTGAGAAACTCAGAAGAATTGAAACAAAACTGTAAAACTGGCTTGTTTCTGGGCACTGACCAGGATGTAAATAAATCAAGTCTGAAAAGACTTTGTCCAGTATTTATAGTGTTATTAACATTTGTTTAAAGCACGTTTCACTTATAGCTGATTTGTTATAGTTTCTAATTTCTATTTTTCATGATAATCAATTGTAAGTTCATCTTGACCAAGTAGACCCTCTCCAACTGTGATTCAAGCATTTTTTCAATTGAAAATATCTGAAGTCTTATCCTTTCTTCCTCTGTCCTTAAAAAATAGTGAAATAATTTTTTAAACTTCTCCTTGTCAGCGCACATTGATGTTATCATTTACTGAGCACTTGATACAAAAGTTAAAAATCTTTCAGTGCTTGTTCAGGAAGGCAGCACATCCTATTTTTATTGCACAATATCTTCGTTAAGTAATGAAAGAATTTTAATAGTACAAATTCTTTTCTTTCCTTTGCATGCCAGTCAAAGATTAAATAACAGTTTATTCATTTGGATTTTGGATTAACTGTCCTCTTAACAACATCTCCTTGCCATACGCATAAAAGATGAAATTTTGCATCTCTTTCTGTCAGCTTTTGTGTGCTGTCATTGCACTTGAACACAAAAACTAACGCCCACAAAAGTGGGCATTTGTTCCTCTTACCACTTTGACGCTTTCCTGAGTATTGTGAGTACATAAAAAAACTTATCAAGCCCAACAGTAGGGTGGACGTGTTCCGGATGGGCTTGGGATTCAGCAATAATCACGCAGGGACAGAGATTGCAACACTATAAAGTACTCCAGTCAACAGTTTGCAGTAATTGGACTATTGCACTAGCTGAACCTCAGTGTTATATATCTATGGTAACTTCAACTTCCTCCACACTTTTTTTTTTTAAATAGGCACTTCTAAAACGTTGAATTTATTTTCTGTTTTTAAGGATGTTCTGCTGTTGGGTGCTGTTGGGGCTTACGACTGGAGTGGAAAAGTAGTTCAGGAGGCTTCAAACAAAGTGACCACCTTTCCAAGTCATGTATTGGAGAAAATTCTACAGGACAGAAATCATAGCTCATATCTAGGTAAAGAGCTGAAATATAAATCTTGAAAGGTATCAGATATCTTTCAAGATAGTAAAGAATGCTGTTCTGGCCAAGTTCCTATTAAGAGCAGACTTGGGAAACAAGATTTTTGCATCTGAAAAGATTTTATATACTGGTCAATCACTAAATGAAATGTCTATTTATTTATTTATTTATGTGTACTTTTAATTTTCATACTCTTTATTTACTTCCCCAAATACATGCAGATCAGAAGTTGATTGATTTGGTATCACAGTTTCATCTGCACTCTTTCTTTTCCTGACCTTTTCCAGTTCCGTTTATAATTTTAGGAATACTGCTGCAGTTTAACCGAAGTCTTATTTGTAACCCCCATTTACTTTCCTACATATGTTTTTGTGACCCAATAAAGCAAGACAGCTTGTCTTCTCTGTTCATTTATCTTCCATATAGGGTTAAATCTTCTCTGTAAAAGTACAATCTGCTTGCTCTGGCAGTTCATCTCTGAATAGCACAAGTTTAGCTTTCTTATCCCTGAAGTTTTTTAATGAAATGTATTCCCATTAATATGTACCCTTTTTGTATGACTTAGTAGTACTTCCACCTGACACAAAGTAAAAATAAACCCAGTCTAATTGGCTCTAGTTCTTTTGTTTGTGTAATACCTTTGAATTTTCGTTCTTCCCACATCAAGAATGACTTAAAATGTTCAATCATTTCCTATCAATACTTCTCCACCAGGAACTTTCCGGAGTTTTGTCCCTGATTTTTTTTTTTTTTTTTTTGCGCAAACAATGTCATTGTCTTTTCTTACTCCTCAGGGCACTCCATTGCTATTTCTTCATTTCTGTTCCATCTCCTTCTGCCTCACTCACCAGCTCTCCGTATGAGTGGGGAGCCCAAGCTAAAACGCTCTGCCCAGCTTGTTAGCGTGGCCCCCATTCAGCTCTGCAACCTGTAGTGTTTTATGCCTGCACTTTGTATGGCAGCCTGCCTAAAGATGGGATGTGGTTCTTCAGTTTAACTGTAGGTTTTAGAAAGGTTTTTTGTTTCTTCTGTTAAAATAAACGAACTGTGCTAAAATCACAGAAATGTAAAATATGTAGTAATACTAGCTTTAGAGTGCTAACTCATGTTTAAAATATTTGCAGATGTTAAATGATGTTTCTTGAAAGCAAATAGTGTTATAATACTGGGGATGAGGATTAAAATGTTCAAAGAAGCTCAATCAATATAAGCCCTTCAGCTGACAAGCTTTTAATATAGCCAATTGTATTCAGCCAGAGAACTGGGCTGTGGTTTTGTGTGCTGTGGGAAAATGCACCGAGAGCTTTGTAGAAGTCAGGCCTTCCTCTTGGGTTTGAAGACTGGCTCAAAAGCTGGGCTTATGTTTCTCTTCACTTCTTCACTTTTCCTGTCTCCCTCACAAGCATGACATTTTTGCGGTGTGCTTTGGACTGAATAGGCTAGACTACTGTCTGTGCTATTCTGTAAACCTGCTTCAACTCGATCTGTCTATCAGTCTTCTCTCTGGAAGAACGTTTGATGCATGCGTGGCTACTTAGCTATGGTATAGAAGTATTACCCTCTGCCACTAATACACCAGGTTGATTCATCCTTTCAGCTTTTGTGGATAATGAACTGACAACTTGTAGCTAATTCTCTCTCACACCTGTTATATTTTGGCTTCTTCCCCTAGGTTATTCTGTTGCTGTTCTCTCAACTCAAAACTCTGTCTATTTTGTTGCTGGTGTACCAAGATCCAACTATACTGGCAGAGTTGTGGTTTATGATGTTGACAGCCATGGTAATATCACCATTGTGCAGTCCCAGAGAGGCGAGCAGGCAAGTACATTCTGTTCAAGTTCACAGAGGTCAGGACAGGAGTAAATAGCAATGCATTTGTTCTGAAAATTCCTATTTTCTTGTAAAGCATATAGAATCCTATGTGCACTTTCTCTGACAGAACTGTTACAAAGTCCATATACAAACATGACTCTCTTATTATTGATTTCAGATTGGCTCCTACTTTGGCAGTGTGGTGTGTTCAGTGGACATTAACAGAGATTCTGTTACAGATGTGCTGCTCGTAGGTGCACCAATGTTTATGAATGACCTGAAGAAAGAGGAAGGAAGAGTGTACATGTTTTCCATAACAAAGGTAGGAATGAAACTACTGTGGTGCTGGGATTGGGTACGAGTCCAGGTGTTTTCCTTAGCAGCTGAAGGGGCTTGCTGTTGTCCCCTGGACTGAAGTCTTGCCAAGGAAGTTCAAACTGCAATAGTATTTACCAGCCTTGTCTGTTCTGTTAAATCGGAAGACCAGAGAATGATGTCTGTCTGCTTCCAAAGCAGATTGACCACATCTATACCACAAACCTTGGCCCCAGATCTCTCCTGGGCCCCAGGTTATGGGCATGTGACCCTAAGACCCCATGTATTATTTTTTTTTCCCTAGTTCAAAGTGCTTAAAAAGTGAGTGGTCTTTTTATATTGAGAAACAGAACATGTGCTCTGGCTGGGGATGGATCTTAGGGGCAAATGGTGCAAAGACTACATGGGACGGGGTTAGAGGCCTCTGGACAGAGACCTTCCCAGTGCAGTCTCCTCCCTTCTTCCTAGAAACAAGCGACTTCTCCCCAGAACCACTTGTGTGTATAATGTGGGAATAAGCCAGCTGGAGCAGTTCAGAATGGAGCCACTAACAAAGCTGGTAGCTAAGCAGTATTAGTGATCAGTTGTCTGCTGGTCTAGGTCCCTTTTATTTAGCAACATAGACATAACTAAAAGTTTGGTTAGGGTTTAGGCATTATGCTTAGACACTGTATGCAAATGTAACACAGTGTTGACCACTTTTCTGGAAAGCTTAGCTTAAGGCTTTCTAATTGATTGTTTGCCAGTTGATTTTGGCAAATCCGTTCAACACCTAGGAGTATTCCAGAAACAGCACTAATAAATGCTTTTCTGCTAGCAGACTTTCACGCTAAATGGTTGCTTTTACTCATGTTGCTGCTTTTGTCAGCAAGGCCATGTTATTTTATCTGATGTGTGAGTTTTATTCAGACCTGGTAAGCAGGTTTTCATAATATTTGTATTAACATTATGGCACCTTTAAACAGTCTCACAGACAATCACAGATGTCTGAATAAGTGAAGTAAATGAATACCTGCAGTTAATCAGAGAAAAAAGAACATGGCATTTCTACTAGGTAACTGCAAAGAAATAAGTAGAGAGGAAGGACACAGTGCAGTGTTAGATTATCCTAAAGCTACATAAAACTGGGCAATTTGGAGAAGTTCAGGGTAGAGAGAAGTACCAGAAGCTGAACTGTTGGCAACAGACATCAGTCATTGTGACTGTATCATTGGGCACAAAATACAGAAGAAAAGAAAAATGAAAGGATTCTTCCCCCTTGTTTTGGAAACTGAACAAGATGACTCTCCTTATATCTATGAGCAGTCTTTGTTAAATGTATATTTAAAATTATTTAAAATGAAATGTTAAAAATAAGGATTTTTTAATATGTATTTGTATAACTTGCCACATTGTGCAAATTATACTTTTCTAGTCATTTTGAATTAATAGCTTGGCTGATATTTCTAAAATTTTAAATAGTGTGATGAGCGAGGTTAAGGATGAGAAAGGTATTTGCTGAATTTAAGCTTAAGTAAACGTGGCTATTTAACTCTACAGTTCTCCAACCTTTCTTCTCTCATTGGCACTAGAGAGGTCAGGAGTTTAACATTTGGACACATTTTTTGCATTAGTTCAGTTAGGAAATTCCATTTCTATTTCAAAGAATTATGTCCAGTTACATAACTTCCATTCCCTCTGCATAAAAACTGGTAATCCAAAACTGGAAACTGTATTTTTCAATGTATTGTGAAATTTTCAGAACAGTCAGATGAGGACAATGAGAGCAGCATTTAAGCTTCATACATATGGTTATATTTGCTGTTACTGCAGCTTTGCATAGCATGCTTTAATTTTGGTGTGTAATATTTGCCAAGATTCTGAGATATAATGCAAACTGAATGGGCAATACAATGGGGAAGGAATTTGGGGTTGAGAGTCCAAGGAGAACGTATTAGAAAAAACACAAAAACAAAAAACAATGCACAGAGATACTGTTCCTATGTCTATTTTTCTGCAGTGACAGTGGTATTTTTTTTCTTCATTTTTCTTTCCCAAAGGGGATTTTGCATCAACAAGAACTCTTGGAAGGTCCACAAGGGTTGGAGAATTCTCACTTTGGATCAGCGATTGCAACGCTTGCAGACATTGATTTAGATGGCTTTAATGATGTTGTAATAGGTGCGCCGCTGGAGAGCCAAAACTCTGGAGCAATTTATATTTACAGTGGATACCAAAAGACTATATATACCAAATATTCTCAGGTAAATAACTTGCCTAATGCTGTGCTCAGTGCCTTCAGATCTGCTAGAGGAAAACTGAAGGATTTGCTGTGTTTTTTATCAGCTACTATTTCACTCTCTTAAAGGAATATGGTTATTCTCATGACTAATTTCACGTTTTGCCCTTCTCTTTACTTCAGCTGTCAGCATATCCTGAATGATTTTATGATTCTTACAGCTGAAGTGTATAGAAAAAAATGACTTGCAGGATGCTTCATCTGAGCCCATTTATATATTTTTTGGTACCTGTGTATGAAGTGAACTAATTACCTGCACATTTTGAACAAGCTGTTATTTTTAGGTCTGATGTACTACAAAGAAGATTAAATAATTATCAGCTCTGTAAATTATAAATATACAGTATTACATGTAATAGTAGTAAACTGCTTAAAATTGAGAAAACATCTGCAAAAGTATTTTCCTTAAGCAGTACATTCCATATACAGAAAATATATACAAAAATCCATTGGTTGAGCTGCTATCTAAAAGCTCAAGCACTCTTGTGTCAGCTCAGTAATCAAACTCTCTTTTTCCAGAAAATTTTAGGATCAGATCCTGCTTTTGGACAACGGCTCCAGTTCTTTGGAAGATCAGTAGATGGCCATAGAGACTTAGATGATGATGGCATTACTGACGTATCAGTTGGTGCTGAAGGAAATGTGGTTCTACTTTGGTTAGTAAACCCTTTTGGAAAGGCAGCACTTCATATTTCAGATGCATTTAGTTAATTAAACAGCAAAACAAACAAACCAAAAAGCTCTTTCCCATCTATGTGTTCAAAGCCAACAGTTATTGTCTAAATGCTATTATTGTAGCTGGTTGAAAAACAGTGTTGGGCTAAATTGCTTTTAAGCATGTTTTGTCAAGCCCCAGAGAGCCCCTTTCAGCACAGGAGAGAGTGGGGTGAAGCAAGGTGGTGGCGGAGCTGGCATGAGATCCTGCAGGGAGGAGAGGGCTAGGAGAAGCCGCCAGTGGCCACCACACAGTCACGTGGGGCTGCTGCGGTCAGAGTTGCTTGCTTGGGACTACTTGTCACAGCTGGTCATGTAACAGCCAAGCTATAATTCTGCGAGCTGGGTCTCCTGTGTGCAGCACCGCCAGTGAAAACACTTCTCCCATAGCCTGCATAACCTTTGCTAGTCAACAGACTCATCTGTGTGAGCAACTTGTCCTGCAGGGTAAGGTCACAGAGCAGTGAATGAGTGCTGGCACCCAGCTCTGGCAAGAAACACCCACTTTTCTTCTGGCATGTGGGTTTGCGTTTTTGCCAGAGCAATTTGAGTAGTTTCACAAACGAAGGAAGAAAGGCTTCACAAAACCTAAACCCTGTGCTCCCCGCGCTGTGTGTTTTCCACTACTTCCGTGTGGAGCTAAATTAAAGCACAGCTTGCTTTCCTATCTGTCACCCTTATCCTCGCCTGAGGCTCCCATTGTAACAGGAAAAACATTACCAAGTTGCTACTTTATTTAATAAAACAAGGTTATTAAAAATGGTCAGTTTGGACCTTTGACCCGCAGCAGAACTCCTGCAGGTGCTTGTGGTAATTGCATTAAAGAAAATTATGCTGCTTAGAATACCAGCATTTATGTCTATTTGATTAATGAGGATGCTCATTTTTTGCTTTCACTCCAGCACTTGGTCAGATTAATGGGTTTCACTTTTGATGGAAGTGTTTGTGTTTACATGCAAGGTTCCTTTGCAACTATTCTTCTAAATCTTGATTAATTACATGAAAGTTGTTTTTCTGAAAAAGTACACTATCAATTAAGAATAGTATTTCTTTGCCTTTCCAGAGAAACTCAGTGACTTCCCTGAAGGAACCTAAGAAGGTTATTTGTTGGAGGGAGGGAAAAAAGGCAACAGCTTCATTTTCTGTTATCTTAAGAAAAGGGTTAGGGCATTAGAATGAAGTTACCGATTATCCATTGATTTGACATGATAAATGATTTATTGTAAGTATTGAAAGTTATCATATAACAAATGTAGTTACATGTAAAGGAAAAAAAAATCCATCAGTAGCATTAAAAATGTTTACATGGGGAGCCATAATAATTAATGTTGCATTTAGAGATATACCTTAGAAAACCATTTCTAAGTTAACTGGTCCTTTTAAAAATCACACATAGTCTTTTTTAAATATTTTTCAGGTCACGAAGCATTGCAAATGTGTCCATAATTGCCTCATTTAAACCTGAGAAAATCAGTCTACTGAACAAGAACATGGAAATAACTGCCAAAATATGTTTCGAGGCTACATTTAGACCTGCTAAGAGAAATAATCAAGTGGGTAAGATTATTTCAATGGCATGTTTTATATTAATTTCTTCAAAAAACCATTATTCAAATGGGTAGCAGAAATTCTGATACTGAATTGATTATCAAGAACAGGAGTAATCAGTATAAAATTTAAATGCTTGGGAAAGTATTTCTGACTTGACTTCATCAGTATGACTCACTGTCATCACTATCTCATTAATCTTTGAAAACTGAGGGATTAATAATATTCAGGAGCACTATATCCTCACTGTCCCACAAACCCCAGGAAATATCACTAGTGAGAAACTAATTCTTCTTCATCTTTTGCTCACCAAGTTCCATAGTTTTTCTTTGGCTCTCTTGACCACAAGAAACTTTAGGAAGGGTAACTGGATATCCCTGAAAGATGCCACTCCTGGGGAGAGAACTGCTGGATTCAACAACAGCAGACGGCACACTTCTCAACAAAAAAATAATTTCCATAAACTCACCCCAGATGTCACTGGGGAGAAGCTTTTTTTTCTCCGAGGACATGAAAGCACCAAATATTTCTGAGGCTAACATTGGCCACTCATTAAGCTGTTTAGTTAAATGTGCACAGCTTTGGTAACACTGGACTGCTTCAGTGCAACATACAGCGCCTTTAGGAATTCACAGTTGTTAGCTATAAAATAACAATGAATGTCCACAGTGTATTTGTCATAATATGAAGAGAAGACAGGAATTATTATGTGATTGAAGAGAAGATGCAGATTCTTTATAGTTTCCTTAGAATTCAAGGATGTGGTTGTAAGGCCTCTTTATCTAGTATAATCCTGGCCCTGCTGACTGGTTCCTTGCCCAAGTTACAGGCTCAGGCATCTGCAGTGCAGGTTGGATTGATTGCCGTTTAATGTGCTCTCTGTGGATGAGAACTTACTTCAGGATTTAAACCTGTTTAACTGCTTTGGAAAATGCAAGAGAAAACTTTATCATTTTGAGAATGTTCTGTGTTAAGTGAGCTACAGAAAAAGTAAAATACTTAGGGTGGTTTGGAAAGTTTGGCCATTCTGTAGTATAGAATAATATAGTAGTGAGATGACTGGCAGTCAGACTCTAGTAAAAATACTGTTGTTCTTGCAGCTATAAGATACAACGCAACATTGGATGCTGATCTCCACTCCTCTAGAGTGACTTCTAGAGGATTATTCAAAGAAAATAATGAACGGTACATGCAGAGGGATCTTGTGGTACGTCGTGAGGAGAACTGTGTTCGTGACTTTTTTTTTTTTTTTTTTTTTTTTAGGTAAAGGGCCACTTAATTTTGTGCTTCAGGTCTGACCTAACACAGAGACCACAGTTTCAGTAGTTTTTAATTTCACTCTGAGTAGATTCTTCCTTAAGAACTAAAAATTTCATGCAAAAGTTCATCTCAGGCTAAAAAATTTTATACTTCTGCTAACTTCATAGTAGCCCATGGTAGGTACAGGTTGTGCTTGGAAAAAATAAACATGAAAAGAATCAGAACTCCATCTTTCTCCAGAACTGAAAACCAAATGCAGCCCAGAGAGCTGTCAACTGTGTCCATGATGCTATGTTAGGTAATTACAAAGTCAGAGTCCTGCAGTTAGTTCCTGCTTTGCTTTACAATTTGTACAAATCATGCAGATTAATAAATAGGTATAATTTTACTTCTCTCCCTTTGAAACGTCCTTTTTTTTTTTTTTTTTTTTTGCCCTGCATTCCTGAATAGTATCGGAGTGTCTTGAACTTGTTGATTACATTTTGTGTCGTTGTGGAGCCATGAACGGTAGTACTAGAAGAGAATTCAACCAGAAAGAGAGGAGACATGAAATATATTCTCTTTTAGTGTTGTTCAGAGGCCTAGCTACTGTCTGTGATAGTAATGCAGAGTGGAATGAAAATTTGACTTATGCAACCAGGTGAGAATGGAAATGACCTGATGGTTGGTTTTGAGCACCAGCTTCTGTAGCCTCAGAGAATCTGTATGTTTCCTAGTGTTAGAAGTAATTGTGATGAATAGCATTTCTAAGAATGCTTGAAAAAAGACTTTTATCATAGAAATGACACTAAAAAAGGATTAGCATTGCCAAAAGAGGTAATCTTACAAGACTCTTTTTTTTCTTTCTTTCTTTTTTTTTTTTAGAGAAATGAGACTATTCAGTGTTGTTTCCTGTTTACAGTACATTAAACATTATTTTGCTATATATTATCAATTTACAATAGAAGTACTGAAGTTATACTTTGCTATGCTGCCAGCTGTCATCCGAACACATGTTTTACAGGAACCTTCTCATGCAGTGAATTTGTTCACTTTGCGCATTGACATTGATCTTGCAAATCCTGGCTCCAGTCCTGTTCTTGATATATATTCTCCTGCATCGGTGGCCTATAGTGTAAGTATATAGTCTTCCTATTGAAAAACAAATGGCTATACACGGATATGTAACGTGGCACCTCACAAGCACCAAAGAAGTACATGAAACACATGCCTGAGAGTATTTCCTTGTTCCATTTATGCTTCTGTCTATATTGCATGGCCTTGCTCACACACACATACTTAGTCACATCCACGAGTCAGCATGGCATAAAAAGCATGTTCGTTGGGGTCAATTCATGGGCTATCATTCATGGGAACTCCTACTTGATGGCAAAGATGAAGGAATTAAAGTTAATTTAACATACAGTAAATGAGTCAATAAAAGAGAGGCAGTCCCTTCAACTGCGTTGTATTTGTCATGATCACGAACATTCCATCTAGATCATCTGACATAGTAACATGCTACTTAGTTTAAAATTATCTACAGACTGTAGTGTCTTAAGGCTGAGACCTATCATTCAGGAAATATTTTTGTTTTTCATAGATTCCTTTTATTAAAGACTGTGGTGAAGATGAACTTTGTATCTGTGATCTTGTCCTTAAGGTTCAACAGAAGGCAGATGATAGGTAAGAGATGAATAAATGGAATTGTTGGGGTTGGTCATTCTGTTAGTTTTCAAAAGTTGGCTTGTCTGTGGACTCGGGATGAATTGTGCTTGAAAATGTCTTTCCATTTCAATGCCTACTTCAAATTAGCAGGTGGAGGTGGGGAAGGGGAATAGAAATGGTATTTCTGTCATAATCAGGTAAAAAGAGGTATGTCAGGAGTACAAGTGTACTGGCAATCCTGTGTATAAGCACAGGATTTTCATCAATGTAGACAAATTCGGATTTTGGTCCCTTAGGATTGAGGACACAGCAATCATTCGGAGCTATAATGTCTGTCTGGCTGCTGTTGTGAAGGAGAGAGCCCTGGGAGAAGCAACAGCCCCTGCAGTGGCCATTTCCATCCCTCCCAGGGAGCAGTCAGGATGCCCACAGAGGCCTGTGCCTCTCGGGAGTAGCGATCAGCTGCGTGGGCAGCACATTTTCCTGATCAGTACACAAATATATGTGCATATTTGCAGTATGGAAAGCAATATGGCTGCTCTTCCTAGAGGTGCCATCCTACCCAGCTGCCCACGCTATGCCAATGTTTCTGCTATGGTGGAACCTTTGTAAATTCAGTACTATTATTTTAATGGTACATAATCAAGAGCCTTCATTTAAAAAAAAAACATTAATTTCCTTCAATTTTAAGAAATACAATCACAGAATTTCTTATTTCTAAACTCTTTGACAATAGAGGATCTAGGTGCATAGAATTTACAAAGCAGATTGTGCTTTGCTTGCTATTTTTGGTGGCTACAGTCAACATTTTCATGTTCCACAGGTGTTCTAGTATCTCTGTTTACAACACTGAACTTTATTTTCCAACAACAAATATCAGTTTATTGTAAGCAGCAAAAATAGAAGGCTGACATTCAACGTGAAACTGAGAAATAAAAAGGAAAATGCATATAACACCAGAATCCAGGCTACCTTTTCAGACAACTTGTTTTTTGCTTCATCTTCTTTACCAGTATGTGGAAATACCCACCCTAATTGTATTATTGCCACTACTTTTCCAGTTTCTTAGAGAAAATGCTTTTTTTCTTTCTAGTAGGGCCTATCCCAGAAAAGGAGAAAGTGTATACACAACTCTCCCAATTTATTTCTTCAAATACCAAAATTATTCCGTTCAGTATATCAGTTTATTTAAGTCAAGGAGAGATACTGTCAACTCAGCATAAAAGCTGGCCATTCATTGAGCTCGACCTCACCTCAGTATTTCAGTCATCTTTTCCTTACTTTAGAATTTGGCATCCACGTCTTCTGCTTGACTCCCAACATCTGAATGCGGTTGCTGTGCCAGAGGGGATTCATATATGATAAATCAAACATGCAGCATGGATATAGCTTTAAAGCACAGACTTTGGATCTAGAAACAGTGTTACGGCCAAGGCCATGTATTCCAACTAGACAGTTAATCAGGTTGAAGTGATTTCTTATATCGCTATACCAGAATATAGTCTTCTAATGAATTTTTGTCTTAGAAAAGGAAAAGAAAGGCATTTTGCAGACTATTTTGGGGAGTGCAGTAAATCTTTAATCTGAACTGTTGCTCCCAGATAATTCATGTAGGATGAAATCCAGACTCAGCATTTGGCCTATTTTGTCAGGCTGTTACTGGAGAGGTGCATGATAGTACTAAGGGTGAACTCCAGAGCAATCGCTATATTGAAGGAAGGGGGAATAGGAGCATTCATCACCATCCAAGAGCAGTATTTTCCTAACAATGAGCTGGCAGAAGTGCTCCGCACAACGCTGAGGGTGCATGCCCCTCTACCTCCCCTTCTTGTTGCACAGCAGAATTATTCATTCCATTCATGCCAAAAGACCACACTGGAGCTAGGGTTTTCCTCCCCTTTCGCTTAGAAGCGTGCAAGGAGAGCTTTTGCCCCCAAATGTGCCTACCTCAAAGCAGAAAAGGCATTAGCTGAGAACGTGTGCGTCGGGGGGACATAATTCATGAATTCATAGGGCTGTATTTTATCAAAAGACAGTATGTTCTAACAAATTCTTTTCAGCGTGATGATAACTGGTTATAGCCTTTGAGGTTTTCTTTCCTTTGGTGTGAGATGATGACATGCTAAATATTCTGTAAAGTGGTATATAAGCTCCTATGCACTGTAAATTTTTCCTACAAAGGTACATTAACTGCACATTAATTTCTATAGTACTTAACTCTCAGTCTCTAAGTACTTTTGAAGTACTGTAAATACTCTGAGTACTCTAACTCTCAGTACTTAACTCTTAGTACTGAGAGTGCTTAACTGTGTCAGGTTTTGTAAATAGGAGCAGTTTTATAAAAATGCTGTAAGAAAAAAAACTATAACAGTTAATACGATGTGATCTGCAATGCTGACTGTCCAGCAAACAATCTCACAAGTTCATAACAGCCCACAAGAAATTGCACAGCATTGGGCCTTTCCCACCTTTCACTCATCTCGCTGTAGCCCCATCGGGTGCATCTCCAGGAGCTGCTATCTACACCTGCTTGACCTGCTCCTTAATGTAATAGATGCCCTGTTGAAGATACAAACCTGAGGATTTCCTGTCTGTTTTATCAGAAGTTGGCATTAAAATGACTTTTCTGTCTTTCTTTTGCAGAGCAATGAGACTGAAGTCTTTTGTCAAACTGGCACAGCTCAATCGACAGTAATTTGCCAAATCAGTTACCCTGTTTTCTGAACAGGACAACAGGTAGAGCTAGCGTGTTTAAATAAGCATTGTATTCTACCCCCCACACCACCATCTGCATTTACTGCTGGTGAGGATTTCTTAGATTTAGCTGTGGTTGAATTCCCTTTGCTTTTCAGAGACATTAAAAGAACCTAACTCTAAGGGATGACTTTTAGTGATCTTTACCAGAGTAAGGGGGCAATGCTCATGAAACGCGCTTTTCCCTGCCTCTGGAAAATGCCCGAACTCCCAGATGCAACTGAGCTTTGTAACTCTGGGAGTGAAGGGCTGGGAGCAGAGGCTGCAAGTCACTGCTCAGCACGTTGCAGTCTCCAGGGACCTGAACTGAATTGCAGTCAAGTTCCTACTGCTGACTGAGCCCAGAGCTTGCTCTGCAAATGTAATCCCTGCAAGGAAATATGCTTGTCTTGAGAGGATGGGGTGGCCCGCACAGCCCTAGCATGGATCATATATCCTTTTTGTCATATATAGCATAAATCTCATGATATCCATGGTTTTAGGGAACTTAATCTCTTATTCCTTTTGGGCAGAACAGCAACAGACTTCCAGACTCTAACATAGTCAATTGGAGCAATAAGGAACTTGCCAAAAGGAATAAAAACATGACATTCTGCAGAAGAAGAGAAAAGGCATTTTTATAAGGTATGTAAATATAGGAACAGCCTCTGAAAGACCACTGAAAAATAATGCATTTTTTTTGTCATAAAAAATTCCCTTTTCATCAGTACCAGGAGAAATTTATGTTCTTCCAATACATTTCTTCTTACATTTAAAGAATTACAAAATGTGTATGAAGCAATTATGGATCCATACGTATAATTGCTACAGGGGATGAAATGCTCACATGAATGGAGGCTACAACAACAAAAAACAGTAATTGTGGTTTTGATAATATAATTAATATATACTATATTTTAATATATGCTATAAATGGATCTCTAGGCCAAAATGTACTGAATTTAGATGAAATCTGAAGCTCAAGTGAACAGAAAAGAACAAACTTTCTCACCCTTCCTGCAGTCTCTGGCTCACACTTACTCCTTTGCCTTCTAGCATCATCTTCTCATCCCCTTGAATGTTCTGACTAAACTGCTGCCTTGAGAGGTCCATTATGCCTGAGAGGGGCATTTTGTAAGGAGAGGCAGGGAGGGAAGAGACAAAAATCCCCATCAGACTGGGCCTTCATTTCATGCCCTAGAAATCTCTTCAGTCCTTGAATTTTATCAGTCATTTGGGATGTATTGGAGGAGTAATCAGTCTGTTACTATCCCAAACGAGTAATTTCAGTTTAGCTAAATTAGAACTGAAACAAAAATACACTGGTTTGACTCTCAGGTAACATATGTTATTTTCGGCTTCATCAAAGAAGGGACTTGTTTATCCTTCTAAATTATTGAATTTCTAGGATAAACTATGTGTAGTTACATTTCATGCACTTGGTCACCAACTGTTGGGGAAGAAATGCCAAAGCATTCCAAAATTTATAAAGCGAAACTGGTAGAAGATGAACAGCAATTATTCAAAGAATGACAGAAACGGAAGCATAATTGTTGGATGTAAAAAGAGGAACCTGCTTAAAAATGAACAACAACAATGAGTTTGGGAAATTAATATTCAAAGATTACTATAATCACATGAAACTTTAGGCTGTATGCAGTGACCTGCATTGGAATGTGGACCCCAGTGTTGATGTTGAGTTCAATAACCTGTTTTTGCAGCAGCTGTTCCAAAATATTCTGAGGCCCTGGATTCACATCACCCCGGTGCACCAATTCTGGAGTGCTGTAGCATTTTTCAGATTGTTTCAGTTGCTGACAAGTGTATATTTGGGTCAGCAACACAAGTTCTTTCAGTTCACTGAGAAAGTTGCATGAGATTCAGCAGAAGTAGTGTTTGTTACTTAAGTTAGCAGTGACAATGTAGTAACTTAAGGTTAGTAGAGATACGGAAGTTTCTAGATGGCAACTGTCACAGCAGCCCCCTAGGAAAACTAGATGATGCACATTTGAATCTGCAAATCTAATTAGTTGAGAAACACCAATATAAGCTCATTGCTTCAGAAAAGGCCAGGCAAGGAATATATAAGAGTTACTCAAAGAAAAACAACATTTAGAATTCAGATGCATCTCCTGCAGTACGAGAAAATGGAATTTCATACACAGGTCAAGACATGAAGGAACCACTTCAGCCACAAAAGGACCTGGATTTCTGGAGATGAGTCAGCTTAAAAGAACTAAGGGGAATACATATTAAGTCAAAGTACAATTTAAAATGGTTGTCTAGGATCATTTGTCCTTGACCTTGTACTCCACTTAGGAAATATCTATCTGGAGATAAAGAACTCAGCTTCTCATGGTTCCTTCGAGGCTGATAATTTAGCCAAGAGGCAACTTTTTAAAAGATAAATGTTGAGAAAACTGTGTTGTCTTCCTAAAGAGAGACTTTTATAGGGAGACTCTCCCACTGTAAGTTCCCAGGACAAAAGTTGTGAGTCAGTCTTGCGAATGACTGCAGCAGGGACAAGGACGCTGATGATGCATCCGGGTAGGACTGGAGTTTTGAGCAGTGAGGAAGCAAAAAGTGTTTCAAATGGCTCTTCTGGAAGTTCTTGTAAGGAGGCCCTTTCTGTTTTTTCCCATGGGAGAAAACATGGAGAATTGAAAATGATCTCAGATGCAGTATAGAGGAATACTGATTGATCAGGAATAGCTCTGTGAGAGGGCGTGTGTTGACTTGCAGTGGAATGCACGGATGTTACTTGGATTAAGTGGGGAGGGATAAATAAGGGGTATTTGTGCCTTGTGCTGCAAGAAGGCTTGACATACTTGAGTCATGGCTGTCCACTCGCTCCCTGGCTTGGTTTTTGACTGCTCAAATTAGCCTCCTCTAGGATAAAAACCAGAAGCAGTTCAGGGCTGGCTCACAAGGAGTGGTATGGATGTGTAGTGCCACACTGAGGCACTTGTGTTGCTTTGAGCACTGTTCTGCTGGCTGTGCCCCCGCCAGCATCCACAGACCCTTCTGCTACATCCTTCCACTACACATCCTCAGCTGCATGCCGTGGTGGCTTGCAACAGCCCTCGCATTACGTCGGAAATTTGGAGCAGAAAAAAGCATCAACAAGACGGAAAGCAGCCCAGAGGATACAGGGGGCCACACGCTCTGCACCATGCAGCCAACCAGGGTGCTGTGTGTGTTTCAGCACCCAGGCACTGCAGAAACAAGTCAGGCTGTGGCATGTGGCCTTACGCCCAGGGTTCCCCATGGGCTCTTGGTGGGGAGGAGAGCCCGGCAAGCAGCGAGTAGCCGTGGCCCAGAGCGCAGCTTGCAGTA